GCCGGTGTTCGGCCGACGGAAAGTGTCGGGGGGGGAGAGAACAGGGACAGAAGAGCAGGTGTATTTAAAGGCGCGGTGATGTGTAAAACGGGAGGGTGGAAGGCGCCCAGGGGGAAGCAGTGGGGAGGGCTTCTCCTGTTCAAACACTGGCTCCTCGGCCAAATGGGAGGGTGGGGAGTCACTCCTGGACTTACAGGCCCAGCATGCACTGGTGCAACTCTTCCTCGTGTGCAGGGAGATGGAATCACCCCTCGTACCCAGGCTGCTCTGCTATAGGTCTGTGCAGAGGGAGCCAACTGCCATGGGTCGACCAGCTCTCATGTGGGCGGATTTAACTACAGGCCAGGGACTTGCAGAGTCTAAGGATCTGCCCCCAGCCACTCAGTAATCCAGAAAGAAAAGGGGATCCTCACAGTGCAGGCAACGTTTCTTTGCAGTGTAGACATAGCCTTAGAGTGGGCAGGGTGAAGGGCAGAGGCTACAGCAGAATTACTGAGCATGCTCAGTGCCCCTACATTCTCCGTAAGTAGCACAGCTGTACAGGGAGCAGCTTTCTACATACCACAGGTCTCATTGCTCCCTGGGAGCCTTGCAGGGCATGTAAGAGTTTCCCCTTCCTTCCCCAGGAGCAGTTCCCCGGTGCCCAGAGCTGCAGATGAGCAGGTTGGCCCGAGGCTGCTTCCAGTGGAACTTGTTGTGCTCCTTGCCCAAGACCCAGGGAAACTGCCACCACATCCCAGTGTGTGTGGGGTGGGGAAGCAAGCCCTGGAAGGAATCAGAAGGGGGTTGAAGACGGGAACAGGGATTTGTGAAGTGGGGGCAGGGGAGATGCAAGAGCTGGGAGCAAGAGCAGCCTGGCTGAGGAAGCGAGAGACCTAGGTTGTACAGAAGGAAATGGGGGAGATACAATGGCAACTCTCCCACCTCATGGGGCAGGTGGGAAGACGGCAGAGGTGACTGGTGGTAGCAATAGGGGACCCCATGTCCCGGACAATATTTCAGTTGCTAATTGCTACTAGGGTGCACCAAATGCCCCCAGCCTCTGTGGGTGCCCCTCCCTCTGCAGGCACCAGTCGTCCACCCAGCAGCGAGAAGGGAATTCTTTACATTTTGATTTTTTTAGTGTTGTAGATATTGGCAAACTGGTCCATTACAGACTGGCAGCATTTCATTTGCATATTTGCATATTGATTTTTCCATAATAAATATGCAAATAAAATCTTCCTGGTCTGCCAACATTTGTGAATGGGTTTGCTGGTCTGTGGTATAAAGTGGGAAGCCCTGATCTAGTGGATATGGCTGTGTGAAAGCTGAAGCCAGACAATTTCAGGCTAGAAAAGAGGCACAAATGTTTGGTAGGCACGATGATGAGCTACAGAAATCCATGGCCACAGGAAGTGGTGGATTCTCCTTCTCTTGATCTCTTCAACTCAACGCTGGCAACTTTCTAGAAAACATGCTGTGAGGAAACAGAACTTTGTGCTTGGATTTCTGGGCTAAGTGTAGTGGCTTGTGCCACAGAGGGGGTCAGACTGCAGGGCTAACGTTCCCCTTGGATACTGCAAATCTATGAATTTTAGGGTCTCATCCTGCAAACACTCATCACGCATGCTTAACTGGCATTAACTTCACTGCATCTCTGTTGTGGAGAGGGGTATAAAGTCTCTGTTGGTTTAGTCCTTATGAGAAGGCCTGAGTCTGCGCTACAAATAAATGGAGGAAATTGAGGTATTTTAGCTGCAGGAACCTAAATTTAGACACCTAGATCCATGCTCAGGCAGCATAATTAGTGGCTTGTTTCTTGAAAACACTGGGGCTACATCTACACTGGCCCCAAATTCCGGAAAAGTGATGCAAAGCAGGTAAGTCAGAATAGGGAAATCCACGGGGGATTTAAATATCCCCCGCGGATTTAAATAAACATGTCTGCCGCTTTTTTCCAGCTTTCTACAAGCCGGAAAAAAAGCGGCGGACATGTTTATTTAAATCCGCGGGGGATATTTAAATCCCCCGCGGATTTCCCTATTCTGACTTACCTGCTTTGCATCACTTTTCCGGAATTTGGGGCCAGTGTAGACGTAGCCTGGGTGCTCAGAACT